CTAAACCCGGCAAACTTCTCAAGCTGGACAAGACTATTGAGAGTTACAGCCTGTGTGCAGAGATTCACCAGAGTTCTACGCGAGAAGATCTCTCAAACGAGCACCTCTCCACCGGACAGAGAACTGAAACCAGCGGAACTTAAAGAAGCTGAGAAGTTCTGGGTTCAACAAGCACAGAAGGATGCGTTCCTAGATGAAATAGAGCAGCTTCAGCAAGTGAAGATGTCGGGCGCACGACCGCAGAGAGCATGCCGCCGGAGTTATGTGAAACAGCTCGGCCCATTCTTGGATGAAGATGGGACCATCCGAGTCGGCGGCCGACTGCAGCGATCAGAGCTGAGTTTTAAAGTCAAACACCCGATGCTTCTGCCGAAAAAGCACGCCATCAGCAGGCTGGTCATCCAGCATGTCCAAGAGAGAGCTGAACATAAACTGGGCGTAGAGCACACCTTAGATGAGCTGAGAACGAGGTTTTGGATTCCTGCAGCGAGAGAGATGATAAAGTCTTGGGTCCGCAGGTGCGTTTCGTGTCAACAGTTACAGAAGAAGCCAGAAACACAAGAAATGGCGCCGATGATAACTGCGCTGGTGCGTCCGTCTCTCCGAGCCTTGGACAGATGTGCTGTTGACTACGCCGGACCATTCTGGACCAAGCAGGGGCGAGGGAAGACGCGACAAAAGCGCTACCTATGCAATTTTGTCTGCCTACAAACCAAGGCTGCGCATCTGGAGAGGCCTACTCACTGGGCACCGCCAGCTTCATACGCGCTCTGATGCTGTTCATCTCGCGCCGAGGTCGACCAGCTGAGATCAGATCCGACAACGGGAGAAACTTTGAGAGGGCCGCTAAAGAACTGAGGGAGAAATTCAGGAGCTCAACAGCGATACGATTCAAAGAAAGCTCTCGAAATGCCGGATGAAGTGGATCTTCAATCCTCCTGGCGCACCCCATTTCAATGGAGTGTGTGAAGCGTTGGTCAAGGTGGGGAAGAAGGCGCAGGTGAAGACTTTGGAACGAGCGGATCTCACCGATGAGGAGCTGAACACAGCGTTCTGCAGAGCTGAAGGACTGCTCAACACCCGCCCACTGACAGCCGTCTCGTCTGATCCAAGCGACCTGCCGCCGCTGACACCGGGAGACTTCATCACGGGTCCATCAAGAGTTGAAATGACACCTTTAGCGAGCACAGATGGTTGCAACCTCCGACAGCGCTGGAGACGGTTGCAGCAGCTTAGCACAGAGTTCTGGCGTTGCTGGGTACGTGAATAACTACCGACTCTGCAAGCGCGACAGAAATGGACTGAAGTCAGAAAGAACCTGCGAGAAGGAGAAGTGGTCCTGCTTATTGATCCCAACGTGCCGCGGGGAACCTGGCCGATGGCGCGAGTCGAAAAGGCGTATCCAGGACCAGATGGCCTGGTCAGAGTGGTTGATGTGAAGACGTCAAAGGGACTATCCAAGGGGCCAGTCACCAAAATCATCCGCATGGAAATTGGGCAGTGATGCTCTCATGGGGGATGTAGAAGTGATGTTCCGAACGACGAGAGGGGTCATTCAGGGTCGGGGGGAGATGTTAAGGAGGATCTGTTGTATGTTGTGCGAGAGTGCTGCCCGCGCGACGGCGTATTTTTTAAAGAAGGAAATAGAGCAGTCTTGGATAGATGAAGTAAAGAATTTGTCGTGTTTTAATAGTAAGAGCAGTTATCTTATTCTAAAACATGACCAGTCCATTTATTAAGCACTCAAGTTAATCATAACGTAAAACACAACGCGAGGACATATCACAACAACAATTACAAATGAAGAAAGCTGGGGCGCCTCGAAACGAAATGGATCAAATCTGGTGATTTTTCCCAGTGTCTTTTCACCCTTTATCAAGGAGACCTTTACCAAGCTGTGTGCCGTCCCCATCCCTTCTTACCAAAACTTTAGCCTCTCCCCTAACATAAGACGGAGCTTGTGGGACTTGCGATGGGCTCTTTTCGGGCCTAAGCGCTTAGATGGGTCCTTTCCGGACCTGAGATGCCCACTTCCTCAGCGTAAAACGTGTCATTTAAAAACTTGAGAAGGGCCCTACCTGAATCTACGATGGGTCCTTCCCAGGCCTGGGAGGGCCTTTTCTGTGCTCACAATGGCCCAACCCAGACCTGAGACGGGCGCCTCCCGAGTTTACGATGGGCCGGTCCTGATCACAGACGGTCCCTTTGAGTCTACAACGGGCTATTTTAAAACCGGAAAAGGGCCCTTCCTGTGCCTGAAACCGTTGTAGGGTTTCCTACTTTGAAATTGATCCCTTCCGGGGCTGAGGTGGGCTCTACGCTTACTTGTGTTATAAATCATAAACGCACCCCTTCCACAAATCCGCTGGGGGCCATTCGGGCCGCCTGAACTATAGGGGAAAAGATGGTTTTGGCCTTTACCTCGTGCACTGGGGGTCGTTTGTCAAGCAGATACACCGCCCTTGGCTTTCTGAGCCTACCACAGGTCCACTCCAGACCAGGGATGGGCCCTTCCCAGGCCCAGAAAGTGAAATAGGCCTTTTCCGAGGCTTAATTTTACGTGTCTTCCGTATGGTGGGTCTCTACCTAACTTGGGACGAGCCGTTTCTGAACTTATCATGGACCCTTCCCAAACTTGAGAGGGCCATCTCTGAGACTACAATGGACCCTTTTCCCGGCCTGAGACGAGCCCTTTTTGAGCTTACGATGAACCCTTTCGAAACCAGATAGGGGCCCCCACCGTGCCGGAAAGTGACGTAAGTGTTTTCCCCTCTTGAAATGGGCCATTTCCAGCCTAAGATGAGCCCTTCGCGGACATGAAGCGATTCCCTTTTGAGCTTAATATGGGCCCTCTCCGGACCAGACATGAGTCGTCTACGCTTGATTTGGTAACACAGTGAGCAAATATTACCACATACCCGAGGGCCTCTTCTGGGCCACCTGAAATTATGGAGGAAGGGACAGAAAGGGACCTTTGCCCCCGTCTTTTGAGACGGGGGGCAGTTTGGCCCCGCTGCCCCCGGATACGCCGCCACTGATTGGTATACTTTTTAAGTGGAAAAGGCTGTTCTGGACAGTACAATTCTATGTTTAGTAAATATGCTCCTCAATGCGTTATGGTTTGATTACATTATTATACATTGCATAGCATTTATTGAGTGCCAACTGACGACTGTTTTATGTGAAAATAGCGGTCACGAACGCCAGATATGAACACCTCGACAGCAATATTTTCCTTGGCCTTGATCACCGCATGACTTATGAAATAGCAGGATTTGAATGACGTTATTATGACGTCATGAATTTCAAGATGACTGAAAAACTCCCTGATATACCTTTCCTCATTTTTGTGGGCGAGTAGTTCAGAAACTAGAAGGGCTTAGGTCTTAAGAAGGGCAGAATTGCGCACAGCACCAAAACGCCTTTCAGATGGCTATTTAATTTCAAAACCCCAAATAAATGCGGAGCACTTCCTTTAAACAACAGCTTTTCGCTCGACCCTCGGAGTAGGAATAGGGTTCTGCTTCTGACAAGCTACCTGATTTACGGCTAGTCTTGAGTCCCCACATAGGTGCAAGGTCCCATCAGCTTTAAGCACGACCAACAACGGTGCACCCCGCTTACTGTGACTAATTTCTTCCCAAAGTCCAAGGCGAAGCTCTCTCTGCAACTCATCATCAACCCGCTGCCGATAAACCGAGGGAACTGGGATGCTGTTATTGTATTGGTTAAGGCGTCTGCGTTAGCCACTGCGCGTCTGGGAAACCAGAGGTACGGGGTTCGATTGCCCGCGGTGCCCGTCCTGCCTGCCAGGTTGAGAGGCAGGCGACACCGTATAGCCTCAGCAGCTGGGTGCGTCGTAAAGTCCCAATGGCATGACACAAGCCGAGGGAGCTGAGCGAACCTTAAAAACCGTGGCATAGACCCGGACCGACAGCGATGGACACCTCCTCTCCCTAGAAGCAACTGAGCTCATCTTCGAACACGTCCGAGAACTTCTTCAGCAGCGGCTGCAGCCGAGGGTCTGCTGACACACCGGTCACGCAGCAAACGGCAGCCCAAATGCGCCAACCAATCGTGACCCAGGGTACATGGGTCAGCCCCCTTCACAAAAATCAACGGCAATCTTGCCGACAGTGACCCGTGTTCGACACAAACGACCACTTCTCCCGCCAAGATCAAAGTCTCTCCTTTGTAAGTCTGTGGTTTCATACCGCTCGATTTTATCACCTTCAAGCCGCACCTAGGAAAACTCGCCCCGCGAGCACACAGACATCGCTGCAGCAGTGCTCTCCTCCATCCGGGTACCGCGGCCGTTCAGCTTCAGATCCACGAACAACGGCGGTCGGCGCTCGCGCCGCCCGCAGCTAGCCGGGAGAAATGTTGATGAACCTCCCCGTCTGCAGCGCCGCCTCCCACCAGTGCCTCCACTGCGTCGTCTGTCTCGTCGAGCTGGCCGACGCGACCGGTACATCTCGGTCGACAGGTCTCCTGAGCGCGTCCCATCTCGCCGCACCTAAAACAGCGGCGCCACCTCACCTAGTATGTGGACGGAGAGTGCCGGCGGCTGCAGCAGCGGTCGGAGGGGCTCGCGCGCCCTGAACCTCCGCGCCGCGCCATCAACCTAGCGGGGTGCGGGGTGGCGCCCGGCGCCACCCCGCGGCTAGACGAGTCCATTTCGAGTTCATTTTCGCGTATGAAAAAGTGCGGTAGAAAGCAATGCAGCATGAAGAAATGTGTATCCGAAAAAAATGTGTGCAACGGATAGCGCAGACGAACTTTTGTGTCAAAGATGCATATCCACATTATGTAATTTCCGCTCCATCACTTCTGCCAGCTCCGTTTTGCATGTTGCCCATTTCCACTCAGAGATATCAGCACAGCCTGGATCCAGCCTCTGGTGTGGCACCTTCGGCATTGCGAGCGGCCCAACACCAGCGCGTGTTACCAAACCAGACGAAAAGCCCACGACGCGTCCGTCCATCCACACCATAGACGGCTCAAAACTTCGCACGTTTATTCGCCACCTCGCGAAGAGCGTACATAGAGGGTACGGACTATCTCACACACAAATCACATAGACGCACAGCGAGGAGAGGCAGCCGCAGCTCGGGCCGCGGCCACAGCACCACGCTGCCGCTGACTGCACGGCTGCGGCCGAGGCCGAGCCGCCTCGCGGCACCGCCGACAGCACACTGAGGTCACTGGACAGTTGATCCCTGACCCCGCCGAAATCGCCGTGTCGCCGGACGCGACGCCGCGACCGGCGCCGGCGGCGCCACCGGTGACGCAAGTTATTACCAGTGTAAGAAAATAGCTGACGCAGCTCCGCGACTTGGAGAAACAGAAGCGTTCAGACACACGTGCAGACAAGTTTCCGGGGCACGGGTATAATATATATTCCCCGGTTCGATGACAGTCGCGTGCGCCTAGCACTACATGCAAATGAATTGACTAAGTCGACCGCGGTCGGCCGGGCACCAAGCGGACTGTGGAGCACGGCGTCTCCCGCCGCCGTGGGACGAGCTGGGGTGAACACAAACAGATTTGTACACTGCTCCCACGCCCCCGGAATGTGACCTCCCGTCCGTAACACAGAGCTATATAGAGCACAATTCAAGCGGCAAACGATTATTCACTTCTCTTTGGATTGAGGCGCGGGCGGAGGACGCACATGCCTTCCCGGACAGCCAATCGGCGCGGGCGGAGAGCGCACACGCCTTCCCGGACAGCCAATTGGCGCGGGCGGAGAGCGCACACGCCTTTCCGGACAGCCAATCGACCGCGCCGGGTGCCACACTACGGGAAGCTTAGCCAATCAGCGGGAGCGAGACGCTACACTGCGGAAAGCTAAGCCAATCGGCGGGCGCGGTGGCCCTACACGGCCGAGAGCTCCGCCCCGAACTCCTTCACCAGGGAGCGGAGCCGCGCGATCTCCCGACTCGCCGTCGTCATGTCCTGCTGCAGCTTCATCTCGTTGGCTTTCAGCTTTTTGATGTCGCGCTGGCAAGTCTGCGAAGAAGGGTGGCGGTGAACGTGACGCAGCGCTCGGCACGTACGCCGTCCACCTCGTTCAGAGGCGTCCTACCCTATGCGCTGCTCACTCCACATGTTAGGGATACGGAGAACACCTTGCGGAGAACATCGTTTTAAAGAATAGTTCGCGAGTCACACCACGTGCCTTTGTCTGTACAGAACGCTCAGCTTTCATATTTACAGACGCATGACGTCATGCGGATGCACTGACGTCATCGTCACCAGCACAAACACCAGGATACCACCTCCCTGCTCAATGCGCAGCTCACTCACCACATTCTGTCGCAAAAGATCGAGTTTGTCGTTTTTCAGCGCGCTGACTTCCGTCTTCAGCCGCTCCAGCTCCTTAATGAGGTCGCTGGCGGCGCTGGGATCGGGCTGCTCGTCGGCGCAAAACGAACACGACAGCCGCTTGTTCTCCGTCGAGCCCATGCTCTCCATGCCCGTGTCCGAGTCGTCATGGTAGCCGTTGCCGTGGTAACCAGCCGGCTCCAGGTCGACCGAGTTCAGCGACGAGTCGTCACTCTCGGACATGGCCACCCTGCCGGACGGGAAACCACCGCTGTAGATGCCGAGCGCGGTGTCGCGAAAGTGTGGACAACGAGCGCCGCGCCACAGACTGGCACGCCACGCCCGATGCCTCTTTATAATGATCCACTACGTGGCCGTGCGGTGTAAAATGAGGGGAAAAGGGAATCAGACATGCTACACCATGTAATAGGGGAATACGACGGAGGTCGTCGAACTGTCTTGTATCGAGCGGTGTCCGCGATTGCAGGGACAATATAAGGCCCGTGAACCCATGGAGCAACCAGGGTTCGAACCTGGGCCCTCACGTGGGAGCCGAAGGCGTTAACCATTCGACATCAGGCCCCTCCATATACTTCATGGCGCCTCAGAGAGCACATCCGCGGTGTTCCAATAGGGATGAACACGGTCTGCACGGTGTATCTCACCACGGTGTGGGCCCATCACCACATGTGCCACGAGCGGCCCAAGATAGCAGCACAGACCGCCGGCAACCCGTGCTGCACCGTCAGGGACCTGACACACCTGACCCCCTGACCCAACCCTGCCCCATGCCTGACCCACCTCTGGGTCCGGTGGGGCGTGGCATCCGGGCTGGAGGAGGCCGAGCTGCAGGTGCGGTAGCTGGACGGCTGGCTGGAGACCGAGCTCAGCGTGTCCTTGTTGGAGGCGCCCGACGAGGTGCGCTTGGTGAGCGGCTTGTGCGCGCGGAACACGAGCGCGCCGTCGGCGGCCGGGCTGGGCGGCGGCCGGCGCCGCTCGTCCGGCTGACTCTTGGAGCGCGACGTCAACGCCTTGCGCACCGTGCTCAGAATGCCGGACGACTCGCGCGGCGGCTCGGCGCCGGCCGGCGGCGCCTGCAGGCCGCAGAACTGCAGACTGCGCGACCGCAGCTCGTCCACCAGGTTCGAGAGCAGCGATGTCCGCGTCCGCGTCTGGGAATGACGTCAGCACGGTCACGGGCCGGCAGGAGCGGACGGGTGACGTCACGTCTGCCCAGCAGCTGCGGTGACACACGAACCATCAGCTGGTGCTTTTAACAAAGTAAACCTTTGTTAGAGGCCGGAGATTGAAAAGATATGTGTAGTAGATTAATATAGACAGGTGCTCGAAAAACTGCCGAGTCTGATGAGGACACGTGTTTTTGTGTGGAGGAGAAATCACCTCGAGTTTAGCGAACTTGTCCGCCTTGTAGCACGCGTTCTCCGCGTTGATGAGCTTGGTGAGCAAAAACTCCCTGAGCTCAGGCCCCTTCTTGAAGACGGCTGGACTGGGCAGAGTCGGGCCGAAGAAGGGCACGTCGTTTCGTGCCGCCACGCTGACCTTGTACCTGCGGACGGCAGCCGGACAGGTCAGACACGGCGACACCAGACACGCTGTCACGCCGGCCCAGACGGAGACAGGGGAGGAAAGTTCCCCGAAACAACAAAGCGAATTGAGATGCCATTTCTCAGCCAGGTTGGGTACATGCCAGTGGTGCTGGGAACTCGCTCGCTATCCAGATGAAGCCGTCGTATTTCCGCGCCGACCGTAAAAACTGTATGGAGCCGTGACTTGTGGCAACAAATTACCTGTCCAGGAGTGTAAGGCAAACCGGCGCAACAAATGGACTACGAAAAACAGGCCATTGTTCCTCGCGTTCCCCAGCATAAATCTCCAGAATGTTTACCGTTTGACCGCTGCAGGGAAACATTTCTAAGTCCCGAGGGAAATACAGGGCATGCATGCGTCCTTTGTCGTATGAACGTGTCGGCGGCGACTGGCCAGTAACTCGCCCCCCCCCCCCCCCCCACCGCCACTGCGGAAGCTAGTGGAAACCTTCCAAAACCCAGCACGGACAAAATTTCGGCGTCTGCAAGGCCCGCCGACCGCGGTCTAATCGTAACTGCATTACCCGCCGGCTGCTGACGCCCGGCCTGAGCATCAGCAGCCGACCGCAAGCGGCCATCCAGCGCCGCCCTGGCCGCCAGCCCGGCCGCGCCCCTCACCGAGTGCCGCTGGAGCACGGCTCGATGACCTGCACCACGATGTAGGCGTGCAGGAAGTGCGAGGCGATCATCTCGGGCGCGAATGGCGTGTTGGCCTCTTGGAACACGATCGCCACGATGTCGTTGCCTGCCGGGTACGGCGCGGGTCAGTGGCGTCGGCACGTGACCCTTCGCCTTCGCGTCCGCCGGTCACTCCAGCTGCGCACGTCCGCCCCCAGGCAATGGCTCCTATTTCGGAGACGAACACTGCGCTCCGGAGCAAGCCAGCACGTGACGCGTAGGTCGGCACTGACGTCACGCGCCAGGCAAGAGCCGGACTTAGACGCCTCGGGCCGTCTCACGACCTGACCGCGCTCACCTATGTGCCGCTTCCGCTGCAGCTGCTGCGCGTCGTTCTCGGTATAGGGCAGCAGTGTAGAGACGTGCAGCATGATCTCGCGATCCTTGAACGTGTCGTATACGGTGTGCTCGCCGGTCTGGCCGTGCTGCGTGTCCAGACCGCCCCGGTACCTGCCAGAGGAGGTGGAGTCGTCACACGCCGTGCCACGCGCTACATTCTCAGACATTGGTACCGCGCGAGCATCGTGTTGCGGTACTTACCCGCCGCCTCCCCACCCTGTCCTGTCATTAGCTGGGCCTACAGCCGTCTTAGATTGAGAATGACAAATGATAAATCGTACCCATTACTGTAATTTCACGTCCCATTTCCTGACCTTCAACGCAAGTAATTATTTAAGCAGGTTTATTTAACATTTCGATGCGATACTGCCACGTAACCGGGCACTATCTTTGACTGCGAAGGATCCACTCGTAGAACGAGCATCTTAGCAAGATGATCTATTTAATTTGTCGTACAACAGTCGACTTTAATCTCCGGAAAGTCCCATCCTCCGGGAAAAACTCGCGACAAATTACACTGGAGGCGCTTACTTCAACAGGGCGTGTTTGTTGATGAAATGTAGGCCCATCCTCTTCAGATCTTTTCCCCAAATGCGTCACAAACTACGAAAGCCAAACATCGTCAGTTCTACACAAACCCGCCGCCCACGGCACGAGACCGGAGGCGGCGATTGGCGGCAGATCGCTCCCACTCACCCCTTGTGGTCCTTGAGAGGAATACGCTGGCCCAGCATGTCGAGAAACTCGTCCATGGCCTGGCTGTGACTGCGGTTACCGAAGAGCTCCTCCTCGCGCGTCTGGCCCTGCCGCTGGTAGATGACGCCGAACTTGAAGTGGTTGACTAGTACGTGTTCGTCGTAGGCCAGCAGCAGGTCGGCGGCGCCGGGCGCCAGCACCGGCTCCAGGCGCTCCAGCGACAGGTCGTCGTTCAGCAGCTGCAACAAGCGACGGCCGGGGTTAGAAAAAGGGCCGGCCGGGTCAGAGGCATGGCCAGCCTGGGTCAGAGACAGGGCCCGGCCGGGGTCAGAGACGTTGGCCAGCCGGGCGGCACGCTTGGGCTCCCGGTCATGCAGCTCGGGCATTGAAAACGACTGCCTTCAGGGGTGGAAAGGCCAGACAACGACACGGGGAAAGATAACACGCACCACAGAGCCCAGTGCGGCATGGCTGCACGCAACGTGGGGACGTTTCCTTTGTTATTCAAAACAGGCTTCACCCTTGAATTGCAAGCATGGCGCTACCGTGCCAACACAGCGCACTTTCAGTGTTTTTTTTTTTTTTTGCCCGCGAGTTACTACTCTTCGTGGATCGTGACAACGTAGAACGCAGCTGATTCTCGGAGTCAGTCGTCACTACCGCCGGCTCCTCCTCTCCCCCCGCCCCCGTTCGCTGGTTGCGCAGCGCCCTTTTCTATGCGGACTAGCTGACTGCTCGCAGTGGTGAAACAATGGACGCCCGTCCGCGCGTCCTGGCAACACTGACATGGACGAAGAAGGATTAGACGGAGAGTCGCCCGCCGCCTACGATAAGCCGGGCGGCAAAAAAAAAAAACACGGCTCCGGGCTGGGACAGACTTCCACTCGGGGAGGTAAAGTGGACTGCTGAATGGGCGCAGCCATTGCCGCCGGGGGGACAGGATTGTTCACAAGATACATACGTGTCCCCTACAAAGATGACAAGGTAAGGTGACATACTTTGGAGGGAAAAACTGGACGTACGACTATGTAGCACGTCGGGCGACTTGTATCAGGCGGAAGAAAACTTGTAATCAAAGATCGTGCGCCTTATCGTGCGTGACGCGCATATCCGTGCTTCTATCACACAAAACTGGCGTTCCGGCCAGTTGAGCATGGGTCGAAGCGACGAATATGTAAATCTGGAGCATTTAACCAAAGCTCAAGACCTCGAAACTACCCACTAATTACGGTGAAAGGGTGTCGGTGTTGGGCCGGTCCACCGCAGGGCGGCGCTAGTGTCACGACATCGCCGCCAGCGGCTGCGGCTGCCGGCTGCGGTCGCCGGGGTCGGGTGTTGGCCGGGTGAGGGCGGCCCCCGACGGCGGCGGGGCGCGGCCGCCACGGCCAACATCCGAGGCGCGGGCTCGGTGCGACGCCTCAGACAATGGCCGGCCTGGTTTCGTCCGACCGGTAAGGACATCGCAGCCCATCGGCGCCTGCCCTGTCCGCGCCACGCGGCCACCCGCCACCAAACTGCGCACTACTCAATGACTGTCAGCTACACGCGGCGTCACGTCGCCGGACCGCCGCCTCGTGCGATGGCCCTTCCATCAGGCTGCCCGCTGCACAAAGCCGCGCCGCCGCCCCCCGTCGCCTGCACACTAAGCCCCCCACACAGCGGCGATGGCATCTCACTGCACGCTACACCGCCCTCGGTGCCGCTAGCACGCCGTCCAGCCTGGGGCGATCCCGGCTACCGGCGCCGTGCCGTTCAGCCCGGCGGCGACCCCAGCTCGGCGGCCCCCCCATCCACAGTTGACAACGCCGTCCAGCTGGGGCGATCCCGGCTACCGACGCCGTGCCCGGCCGGCGACCCCCAGCCACAGTTAACACGCCGTGCAGCCTGGGGCGATCCTGGCTACCGACGCCGTGCCGGAAGGCGACCCCCAGCCACAGTTAACACGCGTCCAGCACGCGGCGGCGGCGGCTTCGGCCGCCGCGTTGTCCAGCCGGAACAGCCCTTGACTCTGCTTACCGCGCCGTGTGGTTTAGTACGACACCAGCCGAGGTCCACACCGCCCGGCCCTCGAGTCACTGCTGTCGTTATCATGCCACGCGGTCCGGGAGGCCCGGCTGCCGTTACCATGCTACCAGCCCTGGACGGCCCGAGCAGCCGTTATCGGCCGGGTCGGTAATTTATGCGGCGAATCGATGGTCCGCCCCGCCCCAGCCGGGGTCCGATGGCGGGGCGATACTCGCCTGGGAGGCAGGATAGGGGGGAGGGGGAGGGCACGACCGTAACCAGGGGTGGGCAGACAAAGGGGAGCGAGCGCGCCGATTGATGGACCTGCGTGAGGCGGGCCCGCACAAGCAGCGGCGGCCGGGGCACCACTGCTGCTGACCTGCGTGACGCGGGCCCGCACCACCAGCGGCGGCCGGGGCACCACTGCTGCTGACCTGCGTGGCGCGGGCCCGCACCACCAGCGGCGGCCGGGGCACCAGCGCTGCTGACCTGCGTGAAGCGGGCCCGCACAAGCAGCGGCGGCCGGGCCACCAGCGCTGCTGACCTGCGTGACGCGGGCCCGCACCACCAGCGGCGGCCGGGGCACCAGCACCACCAGCGGCGGCCGGGGCAACCAGCGCTGCTGACCTGCATGACGCGGGCCCGCACCATCAGCGGCGGCCGAGACGCCGCTCTGCCCACACCGCCGCGCCAGGCCCGCCGCTCACCGAGCCGACTGCCTGTGTCCGATGGCAATCACAGTCGGCGGCGCGCCCGCGGCGGGCACCGACGGCAGCGGTGTCCGCTAACGAGCGCTAATGACGGCCGGCGGCCGACCGGCGGCCGACCGGCGTGGCGGTGCCGGCGGTCCGGCGCGCCGGCGTCCTCGCCGCGCCCGGCGGCGGGCCCGCTCACCTTGGCCATGCTGGCCGGCGTGGGCGCGTGCCCAGGCAGGATGTGGGCACCAGCTCGTGACAGGTGCCGCTGCGCAGCCGCAGGATCAGGCGCATGTGCTCCTGGGACGACATCTGCTCCGGCTTGATGGACAGCACCACGGGGCCCAGCAGCTCGTCCTCGCCGTACCAGTTGATGTGGTCCTGCGGCCAGACGGCGGGGTCAGGGTCAGCGAGCGGACGCGGAAGCACACAGCACAGACACGGCGCGCCGCTGCCAATGAGACGGACGGCCAAAACTCATTATACAACGATGGTTAAGTGCACAACACACAATGGCTAAAGCCATAAGTTGTGTTAATCCCGCATGGATTCAACGCTACTGAGCTGCACAAATCACATCAAACGTACTACATTTGAAACAAAATTACCCCAATTTCATGCATAGTTGACCTCAAAATGCAACGGTGTGGTAGCAATGCATTGTGCATGAGCATATTAGAACATAACTTGTTTCCTTGATGAGCCATGCCATTAGACCCCGAAATTTGAATTGACTGAGCCCCGTCCTGCATGCATCTAGCCCTCGAAATGCAATTGTAATTAGCAGCCCGGTGGAGGCGCCACACGCATCCGTTTACTAGGATGCCCACGTCCACGATTACCATAACAAACCGCTGCATTCCAATCCTTTAACGTTTGCTTCTATAGCTCACGGGCATACTCAATGCAAGTCTACAGACAGTGACAAATCACGTCTCTGTGAATTGCCACGCTAAGTTCGGCTCCCTCCAAGAGCAGTAAAACTCCCTTTACAGTCCGCTTGCCGGCTCCACATCACGCGCCACATTCGCCTCTACTCCGGGCCCGGTCCCAGCGTTCCTCTCCCGCGTTCTCTGAGCGTAAACGGCCAGGTGCCGCCGGTGCAGGTCAACAGGCGTGCCCTCTGCGGCGGGCCCGACCAGGCCCGCTTCAATTAGCCTACATTGCGGGGGTGCCGTGGCCCACTGCCTCCGCGTGCCGAGCAGACGAGGATCCGGCCGGCCGGCTGCATCTGGGTCAGCTGAGGCCGCATGCAGGTCAGCCCGGCCGCTGGCCGCGCCGGAGAGCACGGCGCCACCGGAGCGGGGCGGTCCGGCACCACCAGGGCGGGAAGAGCACGGCACCACCAGGGCGGGAGAGCACGGCACCACCGGAGTGGGGGCAGCCCGGCCGCCGCCCGCGCGGAGAGGCACGGCGCCATCGGAGCGGGGGTAGTACGGCACCACCAGGGCGGGAGAGCACGGCAACCACCGGAGTGGGGCAGCCCGGCCGCCGCCCGCGCGGAAGAGCACGGCACCATCGGAGCGGGGCAGCGCGGCACCACCAGGGCGGGAGAGCACATCATCGGAGTGGGGCGGTCCAGCACCACTTAGGCGGGGGGGGGGGGGGCACGGCACCGTCGGAGCGGGGCAGTCCGGCACCACCAGGTCGGGGGAGCACGGCACCACCGGGGCGGGAGAGCGCATCACCAGAGTGAGTCAGTCCAGCACCACCTGGGCGGAAGAGCACGGCACCATAGGAGCAGGTCAGCCCGGCTGCTGCCCGCCTCTGTCCCTCTCTAAAAACAAAGCTTCGGCCGGTCCGTGGCCGTCCCGCCACTGGCAGCAGCGGTCAGGGAAGACTGCACGGGCCGGCGGCCGTGCCCTCACGGCGGCTCGTGTGCAAGAACCGCCGGCACACAGCATCAGCTGGACCACTGCATGGTCGTGCGCGCAGCTTAGGGCGTCTATGCAGTCGTAGCACCGGCACGTGCGGAGGCGCGCCGGGCCGGCACTGCCGCCGGGCCAACGGCACCCGCGCAAACCGCTTAGCGTTGGCTTTTAGATGCCTGTATTTTTTTGCCGCGCGGGTAGCCATCGCCGATGCTTTGCTTCCCAGATGTTCTAGAGGCGTGTTCAGAGATTAACCTAGGGGCCTCTTATCGCTTAAGCTCCGCATGGTACTAAGTTACAATCTTGACAAAGCTCGTGTTTTGTATCACTTCCAACCCAGGAAAAGGCCACACAACGCACGCAAAAACAACTCGAGGCGCCCCAATGATAAGGCGGCTCACCAGAACCTTGTTGCGACCGCCATGCCCTTTGCAGGCGTTCTGCGAAGTACTACTGCCACCGTCATACGACCTGCCGTTTCCCTCTTCACCGGAACGAGCTCCACCGCCACCGACCAGAGCCGGCGGCGAGACCTTTGTGGCGGCGGCCGGGGCACGTGCACTCGCGTGACGCCGGCGGCTGGGGCAGGGGGTGCGGCTCGATCGTCGGCAGACGGCAGTAGGCGGCCGGTCACAGGAGCCGGCCGAGCCCGGCTGGCGGACGGATTACCGCCGATCGACCCCAGCTGCCGAGCCCGGGCAGCTCCCGGCCGGGCCGCGGCGTCACCGCCGGCGTGGCAGGCGCACGGCTGCCGCTTGGTGCACGTTTGAGCCGGCCAGACCACGCCCGTCGAGACCACAGTGGATGCAAAACCGTCCCCAGGAGGGCGGCGGCGTCGCAGCTCGTCAGGAGTCGGACATCGGCCTGCAGGCCGACAGCCGGGGCAGCCGAACCACTGCCAAACTCCTGGTGAGGCGCCCCGGCAGGCTCCTGAGCATCTGGAGCGGCTCACGTTTGCCACATCCGTCCCTTACCAACAAAGCCTCGTCTGGACGGACGTACCCTCTCCGCAGGTCGCGTAAGTCACGTACCCTCTCAGCATCACCAGCCTGGCTGGCCGCCTGGTTTCGGCCGCCCCTCCTCCCTCCCCCGAGTGGGCAGAGCGGGGAGCCATCAGGTGGCCGGCGAGCCGCCCATCACGATTGCAAGGCTTGCGGGCGGCATGAGCATGCAGCCGAGGTGGCGGCGCGGCCGCGGCCTCCTTCCGTCGGCCTCGCCGGACCGGTCCGAGGTCGAGCCGCCCTTATCGCGCCCGCCCGCGTCGACTCTGACACGGAAGCGGCCGCCGCCCGGTCACGGGTCACTGGTCGGTGGGCCCGTGACGGCCGCCTGGCACTCTCAGTCCCGCACCTGGCCGGCCGACGCAGATGGAGCCACTGCAGGGCCCAAACACCCGGCCCGGCACCGTGGCGCGTCTCGTTTGGACAGCTGTCTGATGCTCGGAAGGGACGTATAGTGGCTTTTGAGAGCAAAGTCCAAGGATAATTTCTGCCAAATAGCCTGCGTTTAAATGCGAGAGCACACGATGCACAGACGCGGTGGCAAAAGCATAATACACGAATCATGAGGCACGCTTAACCCGGAAAAGGAGGAAGGCCGACTCTGCCTGACGGGTATCTCGACCTCCTGTTACCACCTGTTACCAACGGCATCTGTTGCCGCCCATCAGCCCCAGCCCCGTTCATTACGGTCGGCTGCTCGTCACCTCGCCAGCGTAACAGGCCGAATCGCGCCGGGGGGGGGGGGGGGGGCAGCCGGACGACACCGGACGACACCGGACACCGCCGTCCTCATAGGTCACGTTATCCGCCACGCGTAACAAATATCTCGTCTCCAGCCGCCGGATGATCACAAATGAGGTGTTGCGTAATCCCCAGGCGAAAGTCGGTACGCTGAGACGCGTGCTGATGCCGTGCGCTGGAGGCTGGACGCCGCACCACGCAGCCACGGTTAGACCTCGCACAGCGCATCCAATCCACCCGGGCTATTTAAGGCGTGGTGCGCAGTTGGCGCTGGCCGGCATTGTGTGCGAAATAGATCACGTAGCATGGTCATCAGCCGCAACCTATTTGAAAAGGGCAGCGGCGCCTGCCACCACCATATTTCACGCGAGTAGGAGGGAGCCGACCAGGCGGCGGGTGGCTCCTCTCGCCAGCGAGACCAGGCGCCGGCCGGCGAGTGGATACGGGGCGCCAGGCGGGCCGCGTCCCAGCCAGGCAGAGCCCGTGGCCGAGCGCGCGGCCTTGTGACACGGGCGGCCACAAAAACCGTCGGCCCGGACACCCCCGGCTGTCCGCCGGCCTTGTGGGACAGGACGGGCCGGTCAGCGGGCGGGCCAGGCTGCCTCCCGATCTGGGTCGGCGGTCGCCGCGCCGTGACCGGCATCGGGGCCGCCGTGCCGCGGATGACAGCCGAGGGCATCGGACGCCGGCCGGGAGGCGAGGCTGCCGACAGAGGAGACGGCAGAGGCGTAGATTCCGCTCAGAAACGGTGAAGGTCGGCGGCGACCCCCCCCCCCCCCCCCCTCCGCCGGCGTCTTCGGGTGCCTGCTGTCCTGTCCTGCCCGCGTGCCGCACGCCGGTGGCGCCCCAGCCGACGCCGCGTCGCTCCGTCGCCTGCGGCCGGTCCTGCCGGTCGCGCTCCGTCGGAGCGGCGGTAGGGGCGACGCGCCGTTACCCGGCCGCCGCGCTGCGCCGGGCCCTGCTCAGCCGCTGTGACGGACAGCGGGGCAGCGCCGGTAAGGCGGCTCCCACGCCGCCGCGGCGGGCGGCGACGGCGCCTCCTCCCGCTCGTGGCGCGCGCGGCGTGACCGCGCCAGCCACGACGTGACACACTGCGCTCGCCGCCCGCCGGGAGGCGTGCGCCGCTGGCCGGCGGGGCCGGCGCCGCGTCCACCGGCTGATCGGGGGCAGATCGGCCGCCGCGCTGCGCCCGCCCAGCAGCCGTGTTTGGTATTCTGGAGCGCGATTCGGACAGCCGGCTTTGCATAAAGTGGGGCTGGGCTCAGCGTATTCTTGGCAGCGGGTGCCACCCGGGAGACGAGGTCGGGCAGCGGTGCTCCATGCCAGGCGGCTCGCCCAGGTCAGAGGCGTCCCGTGCCAGGCGGCTGGCGCAGGTCAGCGGTGTCCCGTGCCAGGCGGCTCGCACAGGCCAGCGGTATCCCGTGCCAGGCGGTTCGCGCAGGTCAGCGGTGTCCCGTGGCAGGCGGCTCGCGCAGGTCAGTGGTGTCCCGCGGCATGCGGCTCGCGCAGGTCAGCGATGTCCCGTGCCAGGCGGCTCGCGCAGGTCAGCGGTATCCCGTGCCAGGCGGCCCACGCAGGTCAACGGTGTCCCGTAGCAGGCGGCTCGCGCAGGTCATAAGCCGGCCATGGGGACCAGCTGAGCGCCAGACTATGTTTGCCTAAGGCGGGACGGCATTACCCACTGACCCGAGTCCACTCCAAAGTGGCTGGTCGTGGAACGCAGGCACGATATCACGGCACTGAGAGAAAACAGAGCTAAGCGCCGGGTTCTATCATTTCATGTCGACCATAAACAAAGCCGTGACTGCCCTACTCTCCAGCCTCCGCCGGAGGGATGTTCCTCCCTCTCTCGCCATCTTGAGCCAGCGACTCGGACGCTGCCGACCGGAGCGCTTCCCGGACGCGTCCGAAGGGTCGCCACGCCGGCCGGCTGTTGTTTTAGAGACGGACGCTGCACGAGCGCGATCAATAGCCGCCCGCTGACACGGCCGGCACCAGTGGACACTGCGCAGCGCGCCTCACCAATCAGGCCAGCTTCATATTAGGCTATGTGGGCCATACCAATACCGCGTTAAGGCACGCCGTGCAGGATAAACGCGTGCCGGCCGCGTGCTATCTGGGTAACGATGCAGTGGACCGTGAAGTCCCGGCAAAAACACGGGAGGGTATGTAGAGCAGCGCACCATGGCGACGCACCGCGCAGTCGAAGATAGCGTCTCCGCAGGATGCCGGGCAACAACACTTTAAAACCACCCGCTGTTCACAGAAGACAAATGACCCAGCGTAAAGCAGCCGCAGACCAGCGGCCGGGTGTGACAGCCAAGTGGAGCGTGCCACCCGGGGCAGTCAAACAATACGCCGTGCGTGGTTTAGGACAGCGCCGCGACAGGCAGTGTGTCTGACAGGTGGCGCGTCCCCGCCCCGCACCCCGCCGCGGCCCCTGACACGAGGCGTCCTACGCACGTCGAGACAGCCTGTCCCCGCCCCGGCCGCCGCCCTCCCCTCTGTTTACGGCGGAAGCGCGCCCCGTCGGCTGCGCGCGATATCCGGCCGGGCCAGCGACGCACTCATCGCCACCGCATGCCGCCGCGGAAACGCCAGATTAACGAGCGGCACGGCCACGGTGGGGGTGGGGAGCAGCGGCAGCAGGTGGGACGCCACCCCTGCCGCACCTTCCGGCGGCGACAGATGGCCGCGGTACGGGCCGTCCGCGCGGCGCCGGCGCTGACTCACCGGCCGGTCGTACCGCCGCCAGGCGGCGCCCGCGGCCTGATCAACGCCGGCAGGGTGCCGGAGCCCGACCGGCTTCGGGAGAGCCCGGCCACCACGCGCGGGGAGACTCAGCTAGGCCTTGTGGAGATATCACTGCACCCCTATTACTGTAAGTGGCTGGTTGTAGCAGACGAAGATTGCATCTCCGTGATGTAGTACTTCAGTAGCAATAATTATCTACAAGTGGATTGCCTGTAACTGGAAAACAATGTCCACCTCAGCGAGCAAAACAATTGGCCGGTAACTAGTTCGCCGCCTTAGCCTTGACAACAACGAGCGATCAGAAGAACGCCTCGAGACGCGAGCACGCCTCAGCAAAAGGTCAGCAGTTTCAGCAATCTCAACAGCGCGCTTCAACGCCCCGGCGCGCCAGTTGGAGCGATAACATTGCTTTAGAGTACCTTTTGCATGCAACACTTGGTTGTTACGTTACATTTTCCAAAGTTGGGGATTCATCCCCCGTTCTGGGGCCCAGCGTGCTATGACCGCACCACTGCGTGTGGACGAGCCCGGCGAGGGGGAGGGTACGGCGCCGTCCTGCGTCACACCACCAGCGCATCGGACATTATCATGGACCCCGCAGTCGAACTGAAGCCTCTGCTGCACGACAGCGCTCCCACGGGCTGAATGTCCGTCGAACGACCCGCATGCCCGGCTTACCGCTTCAGCAAAATGCTAAAAGTGGACCTGGGGCCTCGAGCAATCCCAGCAGGCCAGGTACTTTGCTTAACCTTTCTAAGGGTCATTTGTCAGCAGAAGGGCAGCGCCACGCGCGGCTCTGCTGCCGACCAGAGCTTCCGTGGAGAAGTGTCAGCATACTCCGCTGCTGCGCACGCCGCCAACGGCCCGGGGCGTGGCGAGCGCTGCACGGCTTTGCGAGCGTGCGGGACGGAATCCCCCGGGATTTTGGAGGGGCGCGCGCGAGCAAATGAAGTGCTGGCCGCAAGCAAGGGGAGGGGCGGAACAGACAATTCGCCGCACGGACCAGAGCCGTGATACTCTTTAGCCTGGTGTGAAGCCACCAAACTGCAGTCTCGTGTACTCCAAAGCCCAAATGCCGCGAGGGCGTTCGAATAACCCCGGGAAATCATGCCGGACTGAGCCTCTTGGATGTGTCAGACTGGCCGACTCAGCCGAGCGTGTCGAGCGCAGTCGTGACTCCGCCCGACTCCCGCCCGTAAGCTGGCGGACCGGTGCGCTCTGCCGTTGAGTGACGCACGCACTGACTCACCTTGCCAAGGAAGTGACGCCGGTAACACTTGGCCGTCTCATCGCACTCGATCTTGGGCTTCCAGCTGTGCTCCGGCAGCAGGGGCTGGCCGTGCGCGTCCACGGCCGTGTCGTGCTCAGTGCCGTCCACCCAGTACTGGCCGCTCGGCTGGGTCAGCACCAGCGGGTACGGCGGCGCGTGTCGCAGCGCGCGCTGCAGCATCTCCGAGGGACACTTCTTGTCCGGCGGCGGCTTGGGCGGCTCTTCCTTCGACGGCTGTGGACGAAAAGAAGCGCAGTCAGACCTGGGCGGCCGGCGCGGGCCGGCGTGGCTGGCACCAGCGTGTGCCAAAGACAGACTCCCCCCCTTCCCCTCCCGGACACAGGAACCCGTGATGATGAGACCGGCGTGATCTCGGGGATCGTGGTGATCGTGATGGTTATCGAAGTTTTAGGGCGCAACGGCTGGCCTGGGGGCGAACGAGCGGATCGGACACAACAGCCCCGGACAAGCGTGGGGACAACACACACCGTCACACACTGGAACCCGAGAAAAGCGCGGGGAGAGGACGCGAGTTTTAAGCAGGAACTCGTGGACGGAAACAATGAAACAATGAAAACCATGAAGTTCCGAAACACCGAGAGGAACAGACAAGCGGATAGCAAATCGATTACGGACGGAAGAATTGTTCGAGACTATTGCCCTCCCCTGGTGTGCAATCGTCCTCAACCATGTTGCGTCCCTCCAGGTTAGCTCAGTAGTAAAACGCTAGTCTTCATCGGAACATCCCGGTAAGATTCCCAAAACGTCCAAGGAGACAATTCGGGCCGTGACGCACGCGTGACTGAAACCGACCACCATCCAGGCCTTCTCGGGACTCAGGAACATCTGACAACGGCTGGGGTATTAACTGGACGAAACGCTGTGTACGGACCAACACACCCACCAGAAGATGACCGCAGACCGCACAATTTATTTAATTCGTAGCATTGACACCTCGCCTCATCATTCCTAAAAGGCTCTCGTAAATCATCCTCAGGCCTAATAAATCTCACAAGAGCGCCGTCGGTCCGCTGGCAACAGGCGGGCCAGGACGCCGCTCGCATGGGAAGTGCAAGTCTTCCGGGTCGCAGCTGAGTGAAAACAGGTCACCCAAAGCTCGTCTGAACAGATACATTTCCGCCTGACAGCCCATATGGCGCAATGCAATCCCAGACGCGATTCAGAATGCATAGCGCAGCGTTCTTGCTCGGTCAGGCGGATCCCCACCAGCCGGTTCGACGCATGCGCAGAGGCCGGGACTTGGCGACATGTCAGCCAGCTGCCCGGCCGGCACTCCATATTTGACGGTCACCACACAGTCACGGGACGATCCAACAACAGGTTCTGAAGCAGATGCTGGACGCCCGACATTAGGTCCGATACAGGTAGCGCGCTTAGCAGCTGTGCTGGTCTGGACAATCCTTAATGCAGCCTGGAAAATCATACCTGTACATGGGCTATTTTGCCGTGGAATATATGACGTGGTCAACAGCGCGACTCTGACTTCCGAGTCATCGTGCGCCCGCTCTCTACAAACAGTACAGCAGCCTGGACCGTGAACGTGACTCTCGTCGAAGCGGACCTCTCACTCCCCATACAGCAGCGCCGCTCTCAAGCAAATCTCAGCAGCAGCATCAGGTGAGTGGTAACGGTCCACTCACACAAAATCCCCAACCATTAGGGGATCGGGAGTGACCGGCCAGTCACGTGGAGCCGGACCTCCGACTCGCGTGCGCCGTTCGCGAGCCGCGCCAGGCTCTGCTACACGTGATGTCAGCTTTTGACGTTCGCCGACAATTGAGCGGGAATCTCATGCGACAGCGCTATGCCTTATTATCGTCATTCCCTCGAGCGAGCAGCGTCACATGCAGCAGGGAGGCGTTGGGTCGCAGTATCACAGTGTATAGAGCGGCAGCGCGGCGGCGGCCGTTGTCTGTTCAACTCGGCAGTACTTCGAACTGCATGGCGCCGGCTGTGGGGCTTGGCGTGAGGCAGACGCTATTCTTAAACAAACTTTGATGACGCTGTAAAGTTTTGCCGCACAAGTGTTGTCTAAAATTATGTACGGGTGCAACTGAGGCACAGCATGCAAGTCCCCCCAGGCCGGTGACGTCTTACATGCCCCTGGGTGCGATATTCCACGAGCTAGACGTGACATCACTGCGGTCAGAAACTCCCCAAATGGAGTTAAGTGATACAATGGACTGGCAATGACGTATCATGAGTCAGCGTCTCCAGCGTCGGGCTGCCTCATTGCCAGAGGTAATATTAACGCGATTCGGAGCAGATAGCTTGCATTCCAGCATGAGCTTTGTGGCGCCAGGCAGCGGTGAAGACTGGCCTTCTTAGTGAGCGCCGTTGTTCTGCCCGGGCGGTTCCTAGTGGGACAATATTGTGGTTTCCCAGGCGCATAGCGCGGCTCGCTTCCTGGCCTAAATACATGCGTTCAGCCAAGGTCTGCTGGGTAAATGGAACACAATTCCACACCACTGCGTTGGCCTTCGCAGCGCGCCAACCCGACCCAGTCCAACCCATCACCAAATCTAACGACAGAAATCGATGCCTGGTCGCCATGGAAACAAACTCCAGAGACGGACCGGGAGCGGGAGCGGCAGCCGCTGGCGGCCCCTACTGGGTCAATGTTAAGGTGGCTGCCACTGTGCCCACCGCCGGCCAGGCAGGTGAGACGGTCGGAGAGAGCGGGGAGGGCGCGGGGAGAGCAGCGGAGCCGTGAGTCACCTGTCCTTCGCTGGCGGCGGCCGGAGCGGGCGGAGGGGCGGCCCGCCGCCGCCTCCCCGACTGGACCACACAGTGGTCAGACGAGGTGCGCAACAGAAAACTGGCCCCGACACACGGCGCCGACCGATGGCCGGCCGCTCGACCGGCCCTGTTGCACCCGGGCACCGCAGGCGGCACACCACAGGGCCGCGATGCCCCGCATTCACCAGAGGCCAGGGAAAGCGTCGTGATAAGAAACAACACGCCAAGAGCTGGGCTGGGAAAGCAGCGACAACATCCGTTCGAAAGCGGATGACTCCCGGTGGGTGCCCTCTACGTAACTAGGCGTCATTTAGACATATAGACAAATGAACTTCACAAGAGCTCGCTGCACAATCGCCGCATGACGCACCCCGGCGTGATGCGCCTCGTCGTGCACCTGTTCTCCTCTCCTCCGAAGACACACCGAGGGTGCGAGAACCGCTCTGTTTAACCGGGCCAAAAATAATCGGCCAAGGAGGAGGCGCCGCGCACCGGGCCGATGAGCCCGGCAGCCCGCGGGCCCACCCGCCTCGGGCGAAACGTCGGAATGCCACCTACCGTGGCCGGCCTCGGCAGCGGCGACGGCGGCGGGTAGAACATCTCCTCGCGGATGCTGCGCAGCGCGAGCACTTTGACGAACGGGAACAGGGTGGCGGCGGGCGGGCGCGGCCGGCGGCGCGCGGCTCTCCTTTCCAGGCCTGGGCGCTCACTGAGCCTAGCTTGCACCGGCCGCCGCCAGGGAAGCAGTCGCCGCCGCGCCGCCGGCCGCCGCCGCCGCGCGCCCGCCGACCGGCCGTCGCCATGGCAACCGCGGTGGTGTACCTGACTAGTCAGCTGTTTGTTGCGCCAAGGTCTTGACGGCGTCGCGTCGGCCGGCGCTGGCCGGCGCCGCCGCTCGCTGCACAGCAATGGAAAGGCGGCGGCCCCGGCGGGGTGGCTCTCCTCGCTCCGGGCAGAGCGGTGACACGCCGCGCTGAAGGGGCACCGGCGCAGTCCCGGCGCTGTCAGCTGGAGAGAAAGTGTGTCGGCTGGGGCAAAGACGGCCTGCAGTATTTGTCGCTCGCTTGCCACAGCGAGCTAGGTGGAGGCGTGTGCTGCTGTCGCTGCTGCTGCTGACGGTGTTTGGGGAATTTATGAGCGCATCGGCTGCTGGGATAATTTCGTGCTCGATGCATGAGCCGTATCTCCGCCATGTCACTGCATAAAAAGCATTCACACTGCAAATTTTCCAATTCCATGGAGTTTGCTGCACTCCAGCAAGCGAGCAAAGCCTGCAGTACAACCAAGCACGTAGCCTCCCACGTAAATTCCTATAAAAAAGACCGTCGTGAGCTAGGGTGTATGGCTGAGATAGCAAATACCGTTGGAAAGTAAAAAATGGTCAACGACCGCGCTCTCTGAACACATGCACTTCCCCCTGGACGAGGTTTCCTTCCAGCGTTCAAAATCAGGAAAATACCGAGCCGGCAATGGACGACAAACGTGCATCCGGTACTGGTGCTCCGTTCCTATGTTTATAACTGCCGTTGAGGTTACCAGCCCACGCCAATGACGAGCAGTGCGGCGCACGCTACCATCCCGGGTGTAGCTGACCACGGCAGGACATTACCTAGATCGTCCCATTGTTGACAACATGCGCCAATCCAGCGCGAATGTGTCTCTACAGCTGGCGGTCGCGTTGGCCGCGGCTGATTGGTGGGTCTGAGGGGTGTAACGTGTGTGTCAGCACAGACACGCGTTACGTTCGCGTCGTACGCACAGGCGATCGTGTCCGTCCACAGCGGGTACGCCGTCACTGACAGGTCCCATTGCGACAGCGCGCGTAATACGTCCCAGGGGCCACGCCCTGCGGCCGGCTCAATGCGTCGGAGCCGCACGCCGTAATCAACCCGTCATTGGCAGCGTGTTTGCGGCCGGCCGGTCGGCGTGAGGTCGCTGTCGCCTACGCAGTGCGGCCACCCACCTTCCCGGACTCATTACGCGCGTGCGGTCAAAGATAGGACTCGTGCGTGAAACCGATACGTTCTGAGACGACACGAGACGAGACGAGACGGTACGAGACAACAGCCCCGCCACTCGCAGGTCGGCAGCAACGATCGCCGACGCGGTGCTACAGAGAGAGTCCGCAGAATCCAACACAACAAACACTCGACGCTTGTTTGTTCGCTGCGCTCGGCATTAATGCCAGCAGCCAACAGCACCCAGCGGCGGCTCACCCGGCGTAAGCGGAAGATGGATCTGCATGGTCGAGCTCAGACCCCCCCCCCCCCCCGCTGGCCGAGGCGCGGGCACAAGAAAACGCGGGAGGCTTAGATAAAAACACAGCCCAGCAACAGGTCGCGATGAATTAAGCAGCGAAATGCGCAATCGGCGTACCCGTATACCCTACCCCGTGTACGGTGTACCCCGTATACTCACGCATGGTTATGGCGTGACATGACCTGCCTTTGTTAAGCATATTCCGAAAACGCCCA